AAAAAAAAAATGACATTTTTTTTTTACCAGTTCTGGTAAGTCCCGATTAACCCACGTTCGTAAATAACGCCAAGCGTGTTAACCGTAGCCTCAACAGGGACCACATTCATGACCCAGACAGGATCGTCGACCAATGCCGCCGCAAAACCACCCAAACCGGCATTCATGTCGAGCAAATTACGATACCGTCCTTCCTCCGCCAGCTGTCTGTCTATACCCTTGTAATGCGAAACCCGTTTTCTCCATAGCTCCGTGTCTTTCACAAAACTCTCGGGCGTGACCCCATTCACGCTCCCGCTAAGCACCCGAGGCGGGACAGCTGTCAGCCTCTCGGGCCATTTGCATAACTCACCGCCCGATAATTCTCTCACTTTCGATACCTCTGGCATTCGGGTTAGGCATGCTTCCATTTTAGTATACCTGCAAGAAAAAAACAGAACAAAAGCCCGATTTTAATTTTTTACTGCATATGAAATATTTTCGATAGCTCGACAAAAGAAAAAACGAAACTTTTTTTTACCAGGCTTGGTCCGGGTCCTGGCCCAGCTGGCAGAAGGGAGGCTTTTTGAAAACCTTTCGATTCAATTTACAATGCACGTGATTAGTAGCCTTTTGCCATATTGCAAGGTCGTTTTTCTGCACAATCTTTTTCCAGCAGAGGCTCCTCGCAACACTCTCGATCGACTTCTGCTCCGCGTCCAGGTCAGCGCGCGTCCTGTTCCAGCCTTTCCAGTGAGTCTCCCAGTTAACGGGCGGGCCGGATAGGATCCAATATCCGCCGGGCCGTAAGACCCGGTCAACCTCAATCAGGTAAAGCCCATCTAAACCCAACAACAAAAAGTTCAGTTCATTTTGGTTATAGAATTTTAAAGTTTGTCCATTTTTCTTTTGTTATTACCATATTGGGCCCAAGGAATAAGGCAACGGGAGCAATGGGCCATGTCGAAGGCCCGTGAAGGATAGGGTAGCCTTTGGGTCGCCATTATGCCGATCAAGGCTGGCACGCCTCGTTCGAGCGCAAACTGGACTTGGGCTTCGTGCGTGTCTTTTGGCGCAAAAGACATTGGCAATATGTTTCGAGAGAGCAAGTAAGCTCCCCAGCTTGCAACCTGAAGATAGTAAAATAAAATGAAAACAGAGCAGCTCCATAAGATTAGAAAAATGGCAACTTGTGCAATTAATTTCAGTAGTAGGATTTGTATTCTTCTCAATAAAACTTTGAATTTGTTCTTTTGTAGTGAACTTTATTGTAATATCCATAAGCTTCCAATGAAATCTTTGTCAAGAAAATGCAATTGTCTGAAAATATCTAACAGCCCATTACAAAATATCTGGAAAAAAGACAATGAAACTTTATGTGAATCTGTCTTGGAGAATTAAATAAAAACATGTTTAGTAACACTTTGGTGTAATAATTGTGAATGTATTTGGGCTAGGCATAATATACATTGGACTATCCCTAGGCAAAACAACTTTATTCCATACTCAATAATTTCAAACTAAATAGGGGTAAATTTGACCAAAAATATGAGTAACACTTGACATCATTTTTTAACTACCAGCTGGCTGAGAAATACTTCTAGTTCTACATACTGATTAGATCATTTTGGGATTAAAATGGAAAAAAGAAAAAAGACTGAAAATAGAAACTTGGATTTTGGAAAGCAATTTCCATTTCAAGAATCATTTGCTAGTTTAGCATGATCCTTCTGAAAAAGTCGAGAAATTCTATTAATTTTTTTCTATTTATTCTTTTTTAGTTCAAAAATAATATTCTTGGAGTGTAGATGAAGGGAAAAAAATGTAGGCATTTTAATCACTTTATGTCATGAATCCTAACATGCTAAAACTATTACGTAGCTTTGTAGAAATAATAATAAAAAAAATATGTTTGCTTACCAAACCTCTGATATGAATCAAATATTAGCATATAATGTATCATTAATTATTTTTTAATTTTTGCATAACTAGCCCATGCTTAACTAGCGCACACGTCTCCGACGTGATTACCAAATTTTAATAGGACCGTCCTATTATTATTACTATTATTTCCCTCCCCCAACAAACGAAACATTCTTCAAGCCCAAAAGGTTACAAATTCCAAGGACCTTTAATTTTCTAGATAAAAAATATCAAATATTACAAATCTCACAATCTTGGAAATATAAGACTATAGTACATTAATATAATTCGGTCATCTTATGGAGACCTAAATTAAATTTAGTTAATTATTTGAATACGTTATTGCATGTAATAATATATAATTACTAAAATTATTAGGTTACAAAAGGTAAATAAAATAAATTTGATTTAATATTCCCTTCATAAATTTCATCTCATCCCCACCATTTACTTCGTTCTTATCACCACTTATTTAATTTTCAATTAGCTTTTATTAAAAATAAATAAAAATAAAACTAATTAGACCAACTAAATTTCAAAACGGCAAGAATCATTAAAACGCAACCGTATTAAATAAAATCGAGGACTACACTCACCCCGCAGCCGGTGTCGATGGCGGTCCTGATCTCGCCGCCGGCGAGGTCGATCAGCTTCCCGATGTCATCTATGTACGCGTCGGCGCCGCGCGGGAACATGGTCCCGCCGCCGGGGAACCTGAACCGGTCCCCCTCGAACCGGACCCAGTTCTGACCCGCCTTCTCCACCGTCAGGTGCTTGTGCGGCACGTTCGCGTACCACGCCGAGTCCCTGCTCTCCGGCCACCTGAACGGCGACGTGTAGCCATGCGGCGCCGGAATTCGGCACCTCAGCCGCTCCTCCTCCGCCGGGCAGTGCCGCTCCCGGTACGCCAGCATCTCCCGATCGAACCTCAGCGAGCGCGCCGTGTCCTGGCACGGCGTGTGCTCCGAGAATTTCGGATCGCACGGCGGGAAACGCGCCTCACGCGCCGCCGGTGTAAGCGGGACGAGGTCCTCAGCAGCGTGGCGCGGGGCGAATTCGAGCGCCGGCGGGAGGGATTCGGATGCGCCGCCGCAGGGGAGGGTGGGGAGGAGGGAGGCAGGGGAGGCGCCGGCGGCTCCGCCGCCGTGATGCCAGATTCCGACGAGGTAAAAGACGGAGCAGAGGATGGTGGTGGCGGCCATGTAGTAGAGGTTGGTTTTCTTGGTCCTCAGGGAGAGGTAATGGGTTACGCCGCCACACGCCGCCATTTTTTGTTCGCCGGAATAAAGGAAAATTGAAATGGAGAAAGGGTTATGTTATGCTTAATATTTATATTTAGATAGGGATATATATATATATATATATATACT